CTTAGGACATCTTAACGGCAACGCCATATGTAAGACGTCGTCGAACGGCTGGTACCACACAATCCACGAGTGCCGAAAGAGTCGCGTGGCTCAACGTTTGTGACTGACAGACTCGCTGATGAGTTCAACGCTGCACGAATGTCAAGACTGTAGTATAAGCAAGTAGTTGTTGGAGAAGTCGTCACGTGGCGGCATCGTGCTAATTTCAGTTTCGTTTTTGGTTTTTCTATCGTCTCTCCCTTGGAACGAAAGTTCTTTGTCGAGAAGGACCTTGGCCACAGTTCTCCGTTTCCGTTGCAACCCTCTTGGTTCGTGGGCAGAGTAAACTCCCCGCCTGTGCGAATCGTGGTCTCTTGTTTTGACGTGACTTCAGGGTGTCACGTCGTTTCACATCTTCGAGTGGTAGACCTTTCCTGTGATGCTCCATTCGTCGGACGCTCGCGGATAGGGGTCAAACTTTGTTCAGTGTTTGCACACGAGTGTTCACACAGTCCAAATCATGCCACTCGGAATACCGTAGTCCACATCCTCCATTTCTTCGTCCCAACCTGAGATCCGGTGTGCTTGTTCTTACCGGTGTACCCACTCACGTTCTCCCGCCCGCGCCCCTCTACGTCCGTTTCCAGACAACAATACGGACCCGGCTTTCACCCAGTTCGTGAACTACACCCTCACACGTTGGGGATATTCCTACTCGTAAGTACCCCCGTTAGAATAGGAGAGAGAGAGAGAGAGAGAGAGAGAGAGCGCCGGCACCCGGCTCTTGATGGTCAAAGTCAATGCTGAAGGTTTGACTCTGGTGCTCTTCGTAAAAGCCTTCCTCCCGCCTCTACGATCAATATTTTGATGGTGACTGTCATTGCTGCGCTGTACACGATCTCGCAGGTACGACGTTGCGCTTTGGGCTACGATATCGGATTTCCCTTACAGCTGGTTGCTTTGGCAGCGATATTCGACACGCTTCGTCGCAACAAAACTGGTACGACATCACCGTTCTTGGTAGAGTTTTCTTGCGCTTTTCAATGTGCATTATTCTGTTGTCCACATTGTACTTCCAGAGATCATTGCGGGGGCTCCAGCACCAAGTGATACGTCTTCGACTTCAGATTTCATGATGCTATCAAGGAGGGATTCAATGAGTGACAATACTGGGTTAGCTCGTGATCGAGATCATGATCGGTTCATGACTGAATCATGACCGGATCATGACCCAGTGATGGGTTCACGACTCAGCCGTGACCCGGTCATGATCCATCGATGATCATGATCGGGTCTGACTCCGTCATGAGCCGGTGCGGTGACCCGATCATGATCGGGTCATGACCGAAGTCATGACCTGGACTTGGCTTGGTTTGTCGGTTTTCACTTTCTCATAAAGTTCGGCCAAACTGCTGGATTATGACCTGGTGATAATCTAGCCTGGTTGTGCCGCTACCGAGTCGTGATCGTGTCGTGACCGGGTCAAGATGAGTGCACCGTTACCGAGACATGGTCATGTCGTCACCCCATGGCGACCGAACCATGACCCGATGGTGAGCCTAGATGTATTCATCAACACCAACCTAGCACCTATGCCGCCACATCCACCCAGATGTGTCCCTATCCAACCTCGCGCCGATGCTGGCACACTGACCTACATAAGACGTATCCATCCAGTGCCAACCTAGCAAGGTTTGAGGTTCGGGCGAGGGGTAGCGATACGGATTTTGGCAGGTTTCATGCTCTTGCCAAACCAGACAGGGTTTTGTTTAGGAGGACGAGCACTTTATTGATGTCGACCGGGCCATGACCCAAGAATGACCAACGCATGACTTCGGCCATGATCGAGATCATGATCCCGGTCATGACTCCATCTCGATGACTGGGTCATGACCCGTTCATGATTCGGTCTTGACTCGGTCGGTCATGATCGGGTCATGACGGCATGGTCGGGTTTTAACCCAGTCATGAGCCACGCTGGAGTAATGCCTCAGCCATGATGTCAAAGCAGACCCCGCAAGCAATTCCGACGTACTACCTTGTCTACATTCTCTGGAGATGGAAATCTTTGACCGAGTGCCTTGTGATGCCAACAATGACACGGGGCAACGCTCGTCTGGGACTTTGTAACCTGTTGTAACCGTTACTTGCACCTCGGTTTCTGCTGACCTTGTGCACATCACCACAGATTACCAACGTGGGGTTCTTCGACGTCAACGACACTCACGTGGCAGACGCCATTTTGCAGGAGACGTTATTCATTCACGGCAGTACGGCCAGTGGTGGACGTGTCGCGAATCCCACCCCCAAGGCAACACCAGCGCGTTTTAGCAGGACTTGCACAGATGCCTGTAGCTCCGTGCACTCACCAGGGTCTCCAGCGAGCATGTCTACCGTCTGTGATGAAAGCTGTTTTTCTGGTTGGTCACCTGCTGGACCCCGCTTCCGGGGTCACAATTGCGGCGCGGGGGACCCATCGCTGTACGGGAGTACCTGCAGATCGTGCTACACCGACGAGGAGGAAGCCTTGGCTGCAGATCGTTCCCTTGGGAACGCGTCGTCGGATCCCTTGTTGGCAGGAGCTCACGTCATCATGTGTGACACCGGAGAGCCGCCCCAGGCTTCGAGCTGCTCTCCTGCATGCCGGAGTATGGCTGACACGGTGAGTTGATTCAGGCTACCGGCATGAAATAAAACAAAATGCCACGAGTTTGTTTTCTGCGAATGATGTGTCCAGGAATCAAGTGGCACGTCGTAAAAAAATGAAACACCTCCCAAGGGTTCACCTCTCGGCGAGTCTGGGTGGATGTCGATGTTCTGGGCAAATTGGCTTACGGCGGGTAGGAACGATGCGAAAATATCGTCTTGTGGCGCTGGCGACAGCGGCTCTTGATTTTGCTCAGGTGCTTTGCCACACATATTGCCTTCAAAGCCTTGCTGATATTTGCCTCCTGGCATACACAAGGAGCCGCTGTTGCCTCCTTACCCGGTTTACAAAGAGTCTGGACAGGGGCTATGGCTAAGGTTGCAATTTCTCCATGGCAGTGGGAAACGAGTGAATGCATGTAGCTGCAGAGGCTCACGTTTTGTTTTATCATGTGCTGCGTCTCTTACAACACTCGTTTCCGTACCGCAACCAATATACGAGCGTTTTCTCGATTTCCGTGTCCCTACTCAGGTGTGCGACTCTCGTTGTGGAACCGGGTTGTATGGGGACTTCAACTGCGACTGGCTGGGTCTTGGGTTGACTTGTCGTCGGTGCTTCCAAGAAACGTCGGTGGCCCAATTGGCGGACAGCATTGCCAAGACTCGCGGCCAAAGGGTGATTTTGTGCGAAACGCACGAGCCCCCGTTATCGGCCGAATCCCTCAAGAGCCACATCAAAGAGAAGCTGGGTCATCGCGGCGGTGGTGGCGGTGACGCGAATGCTCCAACAATTTTTCCCCTAGAGTCAGATACAAGTGATCGCTCAACGTTCGTCGGCTCTACAACGATCAACCAGATGTGCGTGTTCTTGCGCGGATATTTCGACCTCCTGGCGGAGACGAGATTGTCGGTTTCGAGCGTTCTGGAGTTCATGCCGGGAATGCGCGTGGCTGTAGCAACACATCCGAGGGAGTTCCAAGTATTCAACAGGTGAGAAGACTCTCGCAAGCACATCTTTCCGATTCAGGAGGAGGAAGTAAGCACGCACGTCCGCAACAACAGACTATTCTGTCTACACCTTCTTCGGCCACGCTGCAAACTCTAACCCTGTAGGTGGAATTTCGTCTAAGGCCATTTGTTACTATGTCTTTTTTAAGGCTGTCTTTTTTTCAAAAAATGACAACTGGCCAAATAGCCCCGTGTTATAGGCTGTCAAGAAACGTTCGTCATTTTTTCGTTGTCATATTTTAGCAAAATATGACGTTGTAACACGGGGCTATATGGCCAGTTGTCATTTTTTGAAAAAAGACAGCCTATCAACAGACATTGTAACAAGTAGACTCACACTGTTTCCATGGCGACGTGTGTATCTCGGACAACCATCGGCCTTCACGGGGTAAAGAACCATTGTACCCTCGTAGATCAATCCGACACTGTTCTCCCTCGACGCGCCGTCCACCCAGTATGACGTTCAAAGCCGTAGCTAAATGTTGAACAGATTACAGGTAACTGTGGCAGTGAATCACGCCAACACGGTTGTCTTAGGCTTGTCAACCATCACATCGCCAATACAAAGAGAGACTCCGCCACCCTCCCCCCCAGCACATGAGTCTTTTTGACTCAGAGCAAAATATTTCTCGTCGTCAGATATCCGGTGCTGTTTGTATGGACCAACGCCCAGAAGGAATCGTGTGGCGTTCTTTCTGTGCATTGCTGCTAGGGGCAAATATTGCACCCCCGTAGGGCGAGCGACCAGAATGTGACGGCAAGGAGACGAAGTGGTACAATGAGGTTGAGGTGGAGTGTTTCTGCTCCGTGTTCAATAGACGTATCGAATTGGAGCGATTTGTTTAGGTTATGGGATGGTACACACACGTTTTGGACACGGCGATATTCGGTGCCTCGCCGTTCTGCAACGGCCTGAAAACTCACCAGTCCAATAACCAAATAAGAAGGAGTATCATGCTGTCCGAAGCTCCTTGACGATCAAGGGCGCCTCCACCGCGATTCGGGTCTGCATCCTGCGCGGTTTCTATTTTCGATTAGGGCAGAAGTACCTTGATGGCGTATCGCAGGCTAAAAGCCACATTTGACTAGGAAGGACGCACCCAAATAGTTCTCACGAGTTTCAAGTCGTGCAACGTTTTTTCGGCGAACACATGTAAGGATGGGCGCAAAACATCGCAAAATTTTCCCTACCATGGTACAGGCATGCGTCTGCGACCTTGAAGTGAGGCTTCTTCGAGGGTTGATTTGATATTGCAAGTCATTCACGTTCTTTTGAAGGCCAATACTCCTCATCTTGCTGACTGATACCTCTGCCCCCGCCGCCTCTATCACACCCTGATTACGCACACGTGTGCTGTCGTGCTGCTATGCGACACAGGACACTTGGATATCTGCCAGACGTTACAATCGGAAATGCATCCAGAGTAGAGCACGGTGCGCTGATAGCAGACCAAATTTGCGGCAACGGAACACGCCTGATCTACTACATGAACGTCGGCGAGGTACTCAGTCGCACGTTTACAAGGAAGGACACGCACGGTGTCCTGGGGGATCTCATCGTGTCGGCTACCGACAGCGCACAAGTCCCCTTGGAGCACGCACGCCGTGCAGCAGGCAGCGCCGTTCTTCTGGGTTTCACCACGCCGGCATTTACATATGGGACTGATCTCATCCTGCCGGCGGAAACGAACGAACAGCTCCGAGCTGTGTTACACACGAAGGCAAAACTGAACGAGTTGGTTGTGGTACAAGCGCAAGGCAAGCACCGGCGATCCAGGAAAAAGCTAGGATTCATTTTTGAGTACTTGACTACGGTGGCTCACTCTCACAGGGGCTCCGCCACAATCTACATTCCGGAGGTAGGAGAAGTGCCCAGCATTTGCCGTTCATGTGAATCTCATGGGTATCAGTTGAGAGGCCCCCCGATAATCTTTCTACTACTCGAACGCTAGGGTTGTCCTCGTCCTTAGCCCTGCAGAGCATTCTGGTCGATATTGCCTGAAAAACCGAATGAAAGGAGAGGGCGAAACGAATACAAGCAAGCATGGACTTCGTAAACGTGCCACAGCGACGGGCTTTTCTCAGCTGGAGTAATGCTTGTTTGTGCCGGGTGGGTGGGGTAGTCAAGGCCAAACGTTTGTGTTACGTGTTTGCCGAGTAGAGTTGTGGACACGTTTCTCAGGGCGGGCGTCAGACCCGAAAACCTCGATATAGTCTTTGTGGCGGTCCCCGTTTGCACATCGCGCCTGCGTAGACTGTGCGTGATTTGTGGCGCAATCCCAAACATATATCTCAGACTCCTCAACTGTTGTCGCCGTCACGAATTTCCTACCTGCAGGTGCTGGCTGCCTTGGCTCATTCCCGTCGTGCTAGTGGTGTGACGTTCCTTGACATGCACCATTGGAGTAGGAAAAACCTCTTTTCGGACGCGTCAATATGGGACATTCCACTGATACAGCCTCGCTTCGGCTGTGCCTTTGATACGTCTCTGAGTTTGAAAGGGTACGACATGGCATCCGTGATGGCCAAAGAGCTCGAAGCTTTCAAGTTCGGAGCATCATGCGAGCTTGGCTTTGAGTCAGTTGAGATCTCCGAATTAGGCGTCAAGGCTGACTGGGAGTTTGGCGTCAAAGGAACGAACCAAAGCATGCCGAGCTTGCACGATTTCAACGTAACGGTGTTGTATCAGACGGTAGCGGCACATGAACCCCTCTTTAAGATATCGATCGCCACGGTAATAGAGCATTTTCCGAGTGCATTTGAAGTGGTTGTCGTTGTCGTGGACGCCGATGTAGCCCTTTTCGAGGGCATCGTCAACCCATTTCGGGCCACAGCACCATTTCCTATTCGTGTCGTCGGAGAGCCAGAGCTGATGGACGGCATGGTTCAGCAAACGTACTCGAAGGTAAGTTTTTTTTTTTTTGCGATCACCAATCATCAAATGACATCTTAGCAACGAAAACGTAGATTGCAGTCGACATATGGGCGCGGCCGCACTGTGTGAGCTAGGGCCGGACTGCTTATGTGCTTGTTTTCTGACCGCACGATGTTGAGGTTCGGGACCGTGCCCAGGGTTGGGGGAGTCGTGTCTCGGACGGCTTGCACAAAACGTGTTCCCTTTTCAAGGCGCGAAGTTATCCCCGTGACTCCATACCGAACAACAATGCGTGGGCGCGTAGTCATGATCGATCAACATGTCATGGTATGAAAACACCACGTTCGGTCGCCCGTGACACTGCAGTTTACGTTCCCAGCCTTTGAAGGTCGATAAATACTTATTTCAGCAGTACTCGCAAGGGATCGACGAGGACAACCCTGAAAACCAGGGAGCAGCAAATAAAACAACAGAACGCATTCGAGGGGTTGTGTTTAAGTGTCTCCATTAGTCGGGTTGTGTTCAATGGGACTCCGAGTGCTCTCGGATGCAAGAACTATCAGAGCACGTGGGGCATGGCGTAGACTATAGCAGATCGAAGTTGGCTTTTCTACAAGCGCTCAACACCGGACTTGCACTTGCCCCTGTTTCGCCAACCGCATCCCCTGACCGAACCCAGTTGAGGGCTGACTTGTACGCGAATGGGGAGTACGTTTTACACCTGGATTCGGATGCGGTCGTCTTCGAGGATGTAACGTACGCGCACATGTTTCATCTCGGCAAGCCGGTGCTACCATTCCGTCGGTACGGAAAAAACGGAGGAGAAGGTAAAGTGCACGAGAAACATGGTCAAAGTCTTGCCTTCGCGGCGTGGCACTAGACTACATATGCACTTTCATAAACATCGAGCATTTCTGTAGCAACGCCGCATTTCGAGATACTGTTGTTTTTTCACCCGTGGAAGAGGGTCGACTGCTGTGCCGTTTTACAGATGTATTGTTTCCCGTATACAAAAGCCCCCCTCCCGTGTGACCCTGGATAGTTGTAGTTGTCCGAAAAAGTACACTGAGAAGTGTAGTACTGTACATAAACTGAACCTCGTGTAGTTCACGTTTTCACCGCAAAAAAGTGGGGGGACTGCCGCCATAAAACTTCGGGCTCAGTGGCCCGTTGCCAGACAAATGCAGTGCGCCACGCGTCCGTAGGGTATGCATAGGATTTCTAACGGTTGGCGCATGTTTGCCTGGATTGGAGCAGGAATGACGAGCACAATATGCTGGCAGAGAGGGACGTCGGTTGCGATTGGGGAAGACGTCATCCACGAGTTCAGCATCTTCAACACCAACGTCTACCCTCGACACATGTGAGGCGGCATCAGTTTTGCTGGAGTCATCCATACAATGCGCGATGGTGATGCGGATCTGCGAAGTGAACAGTTTTCCTAGCCATCAACCGCCCGTATACACGCGTTAGTCCCTCCAGAACAACGAAAACAACCTAGACTAGTCACCCTCGCATGTTCATCCTCGGATATGCTATTGGGAACCCTGAAAAGCTGCTTGTCACGGAAAAAGAGGGACGTTTCCCAAGTCATATACCACTCCATGCGCGAGCTGCTCATTGGCTTTGATGGTCTGAAGGTGAGAACACCAGCAACTCGTTGGGAAAAAAAAATGTGCTTCTGAGAAGCTCCGACGCAGGTTCGTTGTAATCTGTTCGATTGTACGCACGCCACTCCACGAACCACGTACGGCTTGGAACCCATGACTCTCAGGTACCCAGCTGCTCGACGGTTCATCGAGGAACACCACGGACTGTCGTTCGCCGAGTTCATGGGTACGCGACGCGTATCTTGCGCGTACCCTGACGAAACGGCCAGGTTGACCGCAGACGAGAGGATTCTCATGTTTTCATTCTTCAACTTCGTCGGAGCGTATTTGTGGTGAGTCACGCTGTTCGTGAAAGCGATACTACAGAACTCCCATACGCGTCTGATGTGAACTTCCGACGGCTGGCCACAGAATTCCCAGTTTCCAACACAACTGCGGTGTTAAATCATACTTCCTGACCTTATCGGGGTGCAGGGAAAGCTTCCGCGAAGTATACTACATGTATTGGTGTAGAACGTTCACGGCAAAGCGCGTCCCATACGGACTGAACATGGACAGGCCTCGTGTCGAACGAATGACCTTGGCGGGTGCGCGGCACAACCGGGAATAGGGGAGACACAACCCGACAGCCCATGATTTACGGAATTGATAATACTGGTACCACTTACGGCAAAGAAGAGATCCGGGCGGTGGGGTCGGCCGCAGCAGTACTGTAAGCTCGGTCGCCTTTCACGACCCGCAGAGCGGCGTTTCTAATGTCCGAGAAGAAAATGGAAAAATACCCACCCATCAGGCGAACGTTGGAAAAATGGAAATCACAGAGAGAAGGGGCCGGAGGAACGCTGCAACTGCTTTGTATTGAGAACGCAGGGTTTTGATCCATAATTCGGGTGGCTCAGTTCTGTGTGTTGGGAGTGTAGAGCAGCTGGGCCATGACGGGCCTGGGTAGGGGAGGGACGATGGGAAAACGTGTTGTGTTCTTCGGGGGCGTGCTCGTGCACGTAAATCTGTCACGGCATCAAGCACGCGTCACGCTCATCACGCTCAAACTACCAAACGGATCGCTCTGATTCCTCCGCATCTCATCACTGCAATTTCCGTACGTACGTACTGAAGATCTTACGCGTCATACTATGCTACGAGTACTCCCAATATGTCTAATAGCCCCCCTGCTCGTATGCATCGTCATGCTTCGGCAAAAACCACATTCCTCTTTTATCATCTCTCTTAAAACAAACAAGAAATTCTCAAAGCATCCAAATCCAATATCCTCCCCAAAACATGCAAGAAAAGAAAAATCCCAACACAACTAAAACTCCTCCAAAACAAACAAGAAAAATCCCAACATAACTAGAACTCCTCCAAAACAAACACGAAAAGTCTTAACACACCTCCAACACCCTTACCACCTTCATCAGACTCTCTCTTTCTCTCTCCGTTACAGAATACGAATCGACCCCAAAACACTTCCTTCACTGCAAGTTCATCACAAAGTCACGGTGCAACGCAAAAGACTCCTTGCTAATAAATAGCCTTCGTCAAGAAATCTGCATGCTGAAATTGCGTCGGCACGTGAGTAATTGAAATCTCTTTCCTCTCTACCAGCTCCCTGAAAAAGTGATGCCGTACATCGATGTGCTTCGAGTTGGAGTTCGTGATCGGGTTGTGCGAAATCTGAATCGCTCCCTGATTATCCTCGAGCACCGGGATGCACGGCATACTCGCATCTGGCAACATAAAACGCCACACCTTCCTCAAGAACAACATTTCCTTGAAGACGTCGGCAATCGCCACATACTCTGCTTCCGTGGTGGAAAGCGTAACGCACTTGTGCGTTCGTGAAAACCAAGTCACACACCCCCCACACACACATCACTAGCCCCCCAGACACCGACCTCCGGTCTGCCGCCTTGCTTGCATAGTCGGCATCCACAAACACCTGCATGCTCATACCTGTCACGACGCCCCTCTCAAATGTAATCCCCATCCAACTCGTCCTGCGTACGTATCCTAAAATACCTAGTGCTGCCTTTCAGTGCACCATCTTGGGAGCCGCGCAATACCGCGCTACTGCTCGAACTGCATTCGCAATGTCCGGCCGTGTTTTAGTGGCCAACCACATCAGAGATCCTACCAACTCGCGAAAAGGGACATCAGCACTCGCTTCATTCACGTCAAAGTCGGAAAGCTTTACGCTAACAGGCAGAGGCACACTCTGCCCCCACTCAACGCCATACTCTGCAGCCAGCTCTTCGGCAAACCTCTGCTGCGAAATCTTCAACAGCCCTCTCTCTACGTATCTCTCGTAAAAGCACGCAGAGTACCACCTCAACTCTCCAAGGTTCTTCATGGGGACCATCTCGTTGAANTCTTCGGCAAACCTCTGCTGCGAAATCTTCAACAGCCCTCTCTCTACGTATCTCTCGTAAAAGCACGCAGAGTACCACCTCAACTCTCCAAGGTTCTTCATGGGGACCATCTCGTTGAATCCCTGCCAAACTTGTCACACCTCTCCTTCTGCCCTACAGCAAAAATGTCATCCACGTGGACCACGATGACCATGATCACATGTCCCTCCTCCATCCATCGAAAAACACGCCAATGTCGTGATGCCTGCTTCAAACCATGCAGACTCTTGCACAGCTTCACGATCAGGCCAGATAACCTACCACACCCCTGCGGTAAGCGCATGAAAACATCCTCATCAAGCTCAGACTGCACAAAACCCTGCTGAATATCGAAATGGCACAAGTCAAGATTCTTCTCGCATGTTATTGCTGCCAACAAGCGCACACTGGACACTGATACGGTGGGTGCAGACCATTCTCCAAAGTCAAATGAAGCCCTCTCTATGTCCCCCCGCGCTACAAGTCTTGCCTTGAATTTCGTCGGCCATCCGTACTCGTCTGCCTTACAGTTGAAGACCCACTTGGCATTGATCGCGCTCTCTACTGGTTGCTATACCGGACTAGAAGTTCCTGTATCCAACAAACCGAAAAACTCTCGACCAACTGCATCATCCCACAACTCTGAATGTTGAGACCGCATGGCCTCCTTCAAAGTTTTCGGCACTCGAAGGTCGCTGGCGAGGCAGTGAGGAAGTTCTGGCATCTTGTCGGGCGGGCGCTCGGCGCGAAGAGCGGCGTCCACATCCTCGCGGGTGGCGAACATCGTTGCGANGTGCGGAAGGTCAGGCATCTTGTCGGGCGGGCGCTCGGCGCGAAGTGCGGCGTCCACATCCTCACGGGTGGCGAACATCGTTGCGAACATCTGCGGTCTCCCCCCCCCTCCGGAATCCACGGGCCCCCCAGCTCCCACAGCCCCCCCGCTTCCACGGCCTCCAGGACTCGGATCCGGCTGCGGCGGGGGCGGTAGGTCGCGGCGTCCTTGATCCACGGCCTCCCGGGTGGCGAGCGACGAGATGAGGGAGTCCTTGTCCAACATCGCTAACAGACCACGACGGTAGNCATCCTCGCGGGTGGCGAACATCGTTGCGAACATCTGCGGTCTCCCCCCTCCCCCGGAATCCACGGGCCCCCCAGCTCCCTCGGCGCCCCCGCTTCCACGGCCTCTAAGACTCGGATCCGGCTGCGGCGGGGTCGGTATGTCACGGCGTCCTTGATCCACGGCCTCCCGGGTGGCGAGCGACGAGATGAGGGTGTCCTTGTCCATCATGTCCAACAGCTCAAGGCGGTGGTGGAGAGCGGTGCCGCCACCGGGTGGCGACGGCGGTTTTTGTTGCTCATCCATGAACCGCACTCCATCGCCGCGTGTGCGGCCGTGAACCCTCGTGTCCTCTCGTCCCAACTCCTTGACGGCTCGTTTCGAAAGNGTGTACGTCCTTGATGGCGGGGGCGGCGGCGGTGCGGCATCGGCCGCAGTTACGGCGGTGGCCGGCGAGGGAGTCGCGGTGACCGAAGAACCNTTCGTCCCAACTCCTTCACGGCTCGTTTCGAAAGCGGCGGGTGCGGGGGTGGCGGCGCTGGTGGGCTGCGGCGGTGGCGGCGGCAGGCCCGGGGGCGAATGGGGCGGCGTTGTCGCGGTCGACGGTGGGGCTGATGATGGGGCGACGGAGATCGGCGACGAGGCTGAGGATCCTGTGAAGATCGGCGGGGAAGCGGGCGGCGGCGGTGCGGTGGTCGCTGGTGCAGGCGGGATGTAGGTGTACGTCCTTGATGGCGGGGGCGGCGGCGGTGCGGCATCGGCCGCAGGTACGGCGGTGGCCGGCGAGGGCGCCGCGGTGACCGAAGAACCCCCCCCGCTGGCCGGTACCGGCGCCGGCGCTCCTGCCCGGCGGTTGACCCACACGACGTTGTTGGTGAGGGCGAGGCGACCGGTGTCAGCGCGACGAACGACGGCGGTAGACGTCGAGTGGTTGTTGGCGCCATGCAGGTAGAAGCACCTCGCGGATTGGACGTCCGCCTTGGTGGCCCGCTTCACGCGCATCCTACCCTCCTGGAAAAAGGGGACGACGGTGAGGGGCGGCTTCCGGCCGAAGAAGGCCTCGAACGGCGACATCCAGCCCTGATTGGCCTTCGTCGCGGAGCGGTTGAAACAACCGGATGCCCAGAGCGCCGACGAGAGCCACAGGCGTTGTCCGTTGGCGCCGNAGGATGTGGCGGCGCGCGGCGTGGCCCCCCTTCATGGCGCGCCATATGGTGCTCTCGACCACCGCGTTTTGCCTGGGGGTGCCGGGGGCGGTGTACTCGCGCCGAATGCCAGCAGCGTCGCAGAACGAGGTGAACGCGGCGCCGGTGAACTCGCCGCCGTTGTCCATGCGGAAACACCCCGGAGTGCCCATGCCGTTCATGTCGGCGAGGAACCGCTGCACGAAACTCAGGGTGTCGCTCTTTGCCCGCATCCCGTACCCCCGTTACCACCGCGATGCGCTGTCCACGAACATGATCAGGTACCGGGAGCCGTCCATCGCCTCGGTGAACGGGCCCGTGAGATCGATGTGGACCTTGCCGAACGGCACCGCAGCGCGTGTCCCACGCCGCGGCACCGGGGCCCTCCTGCCCTTCGCCTCCACACAGCCCACACATGGCTGCAGCTCCCCGACCAGCCGAACACCCTGCTGCTTGGCAGTCTCACGCATCAAAAATTCGTTCACGTGGCCGGTGGAAGCGTGGAACAG